TGTGGACTCTACAAGAAGCCCACATCAGACCACATCAAAATCAGTTTTAGTCCCAAACATGCAGTATCCAAAAATTTTATGCTTAAAAAGGCAAGCCATGGCCCGCTCCAATGTGATCAGTCCATGTGACACCTAACCCTTGACGTTTTCAAGCTATAATTATCATAAAATTATTTTTTTTTAAAATGATAAAAATTTAAATATTATGGACCAAAAAATTAAATGGCTTACACTATTTTCAAAAAATATGAGATTCTCCTAACGAAGTGGGATAATTAAATTTCAATTTAATTTAGAAATGTCGTTCATATTTTCAAAAATAATATTACTTGTCCATATGATCCAAAAACTAAAATTATGAGAGCTTAGAATTATATTCTCATTCTTCTCAAAATTTTTATCTTCCAAATTTAGTGGTAATGTCGAAAATAAAAATTGCCTGCAAAAAAAATATTGTTTTTGGAGAGGCTCTTCTCACCTCAAAAATTGGTGGAAATCTTGCAAATTTCCCACCACCACCAATAAAATAATAAATAAAAACATGTATTACGTGGATATGGTTGTCAAGAAAATTTAGTTAACATGAGGACATATGAGAGAGAAAAATTGCCTGCAAAAAAATATTGTTTTTGGAGAGGACTCTTCTCACCTCAAAAATTGGTGGAAATCTTGCAAATTTCCCACCACCACCAATAAAATAATAAATAAAAACATGTATTACGTGGATATGGTTGTCAAGAAAATTTAGTTAACATGAGGACATATGAGAGAGAGAGAGAGAGAGAGCACATGGGAGCATGAGGACATGCGCATGTGGAGAAGATTAAATCAAACAAAGCAATTTTGATTTGAAAAAGAAACAGGGGAAAGGAAATAACATGGATGTTCCAATCCATTCCACCCAAGGGGGGTACCCTCCCTCAACTCAACCCTACCCTGACTTCCAAACTAACAAAGCTAATTGCTTGTGAGGGATGTTTTGAAAATTGGATTGGACCCGCCAAATCTGACCGGTCTATGCTTTAGTCTAAATAAACTCTTTAACATGTTCTTTCTTAAAAATCGATTATTTTAAGTTAAGCCGGTGCAGACCGCAGTTAAACCGCTAAATCGGACCGGGTTAAACCGATTTGCTATGTTTGGTCCAATATTGAAAAAGTTGATGTTAAAGGGACTAGAATCCAACACCTCAAGCTCCAAAGAGTATGAATTTCTACTCTTCCACCATAGTTCCTTGTTAATATGTAGGAAATATATAATATTAATTGCATTCAAACTAATTTCTTTCAAACACATGTATAATTAATATTTTTATAAATAATATTAATATAAAATATGTATAAACATATATGTTTGATGAATATATATATTAAATTATAAAAATATTTTAAATGAATGTATTTTATTTATTTTTAAATTATAAAAACATTCATAAAATAATTATGGCATTACGGTTCGATTCCGATTTAACCCAACGATTAAATCAGTGACCCGTCCACTTAATCTCTTTTTCAATTCGCTTACCGATCTGATTTTTAAAACATTGCTTGTGAGGAGAAGGAGAAGCTACTATAGAGAGCTTCGTTTTCAATCACATACTTTAAAGATCTACTCTTACTAGTAGATAACAACCCCAAACCCCTCAATATCACAGCAGGGAAGGTTGGTCTTTCAATTTCCTTAGACACCACCACCTGAAATCTGAAAGCAACCCACTGAATTAAAATGTCTCAATCACTCATATATATGTTGGAACCATTTTTTGTGTAGAGAAATGAAACTGAAATAACAAAAATAAATTACTTACCATATTCTTGTATCGGAAATTAGAATAATAACCTTTGATCAAGTCGAGTGTATGATACTCTATTCTTAAGACAGATTCGCCGCTGCACAAGTGCTTACGGGTTATCAGCGCTTATCTCCCAAGATACAATGATTAGAAAACACAGATTATAGTAGCACTACAAACAATCTGCTAGGCGAATCAAACCTATGTTCTACAACTCTCTGAAATTTCTATGAACTAATATGAAGAATATATGCAAGAGAGAAGAAAAACGGAAGCACAACTGAATTTATTAGATGATTGAACTGTTGGAAAATGCTCTGTATTTATAGACATTATAGTGCCTATTTGGAAGGGTAGAAAAACCTTCCGAACAGGTGCGAATTTGAAACTGCCGAAAAAATGAAGGAAGGTGACCAGAGAGACACTGGTTCGGACAGGAATTCAATTTTTGAATTTGGCACAAAAATTTGAATTCATGCTGTTAGAATTTCAAATTTTCCCACAAAAATTTGAAAAAATTCAAATGAATTTCGTCCAAAAAATTGGACAGGCAGTGACGACGCGTGTGGTGGTTTGAGCCAAAACCCACTTTGTCCATAACTTTCCTCCTTACAAAACTTGGGATGCCTCTTGGGGTTTAACCCAAGTATGTTTACCTAAAGCTTATATATTCACGCAAACTCTCTTAAAGTTTCAATGTAAGACAATCAATTTAAGAAAACCCATATTTGATTCTTTAACTTTCTATTTCACAAACCCGAAAACAACGTCAACTTCTCATTCACTCATAATTGGTTTTGATGAACCGTCTTTACCGTGTGACTTGCCATCCGACAAGAAACACGTCAACCCACCCCAAAAGACGTATGAGCCTTATTTAAATTTGGGTTCAAAATTAACTCAAAATAAGTCTATATAAACCACAATTTTCAACAATATATATATATATGACATCCATCAATCCCATGCAAATTTTTATGTAGCACATTATGTTCTCAAATTCTTCTTGTCACTATTTGGTCTAAAGTCACATCATTTGTAATCTGGGCTCTCACTTTGTTGAGATTGAGCTCCTCGAGAAGATAGAATTGTGTGATCTCAAGCTTTATTTTTACTGATTTGATTGATCCTGATTAGTCAATACTAAAAATGGCATAGTAGTTCCAGGACATTGAATAATTTTATTTATTTATTTATTTATTTTCCAATACACTTATAACTGTTGATTTTGCTTTGAGAAACTCTCATATTCTAATGACTATAAGTACTTTAGAACATCAGAACTGAGCAATTTAGAGAAAATCACCTTTGAAAGTTGCAAGACAAGGATATAGAAAAGAGGTGCTAAATATACAGAACTATGAAAGGAGAATTGGATGTCTCCGTGTTTGATTGCTAGAAATGCCTGTTTTGGAGCTTTTTTCAACAGTTAAAAGCTAACAATAGGAATTTTTTTATTATTTTTTTGTGTGGGCCTTGTGCGGAAGGATAGTAGTGACTAAAATCATAATGAGTGAGAGCACTAATTAGTACTACTACTAATGATGTGGCAGTATAGTTTCACCATGAATGATTTGATGTTTTAGCTTTGGTGTTGTATTTTTTTTTCTTTTTTTATTGAGTGTCGTGTCATTAGTGATCTTTTTAGAACTCCAAAATTAGTGATCTCTATCATTGTTGTAAACTGATTTATCAAAAAATAAAATTTAAATACATATGCTATGTTACCATAGTTCTTCCACCATGATGTCGGTGTCATTAGCATTGTGAGTAGGAGACAGAAAATACACTAAAAAATAGTGTTTGTAATCTTATTTTATCTAATTTTTATTTTGAGTGAAAATATCTCCCTTTTGGATTGATTCTTTCACCACGATTTACTGTTTTAGGAGTTCGTTTTTGTCAACCAACAATTTTCTATTCTCATATCTTCCTATTATCTTATCCCCAAGTACTAATAATAAACAAATTATGTGACAATTTTAAAATATATAAATCTCAAAATATAACACAATATTTTTGGACAAAACGATTTGAGACAAAAGCATGGCCCTGAGTGCACTATAGCTGGAAGAGGCCCCATCCCTAGCTAGATTCCTGCCTCCACAGCTCATTTCTTCTTCATATTATATATCCTTTAAAGTAATAATAATAATAATAACAAAAACATGATTGTTCCATTTTTTGGGCTTTCGATTTTACGTTGCAAGCTAAATTATACTTCAGTTCTTTCTAGTCTCTTCCCCAAATCATTCTGTCCATTTTTTCCCATGCAGTTAAATAATAGTCCCTACATGTATTATACATATATATGTACACACTAATACTAAGAACACGTAATTAAAGCATAGAATAGATAATAAAAAGTGTAATGGTAGGTTGAGATTTATTCTGAATGTAGATCCCTTCCTAACAAGTTTAATCTCAGCCTTTATTTTTTGTCAACCATTCTATGGGCTGTTTTGTATTCCTAGCACTGAAACAAATATAGTATTAATTATCTATCTATAATTTATCCCCTTTTTACTTTACATAAATTCATGCATCAAATAACATAAAGTTTATTTTTAATAAGAAAATAACATAAGTATATATAGTATCCATTAGGGTATGGCTTCTTTCCAGTCCAGGATCGGACTGGACCGTGCTGTTGGGCCCGTGGGGGCCCACCACGGGTCCCGTTTTGATAATCTGAACCGTTTAATGTGTAGAACTCGTCGAGTACTATATGCCTGTAAAAAATCACGTTGATCGGATATTGATAGCTATATGATCAAATCAGTTTCGTATTAAAAAAATTAGACGGTGAACAAATTAACGGTTGACAAAAAACTGTTTTGATCACATAGCTATCGATATCCGATTAACATGATTTTTTATAGACATATAGTTCTCGACAATTTCTACACATTGAACGGTTCAGATTATCAAAACGGGACCTGTGATGGACCTCCACGGGCCCAACAGCACGGTCCAGTCCGGCAATCTGATCTCGAACTGGACAGAAGCCATACCCTCTCCGGTATATCTGAAAAATAATGATTCTCACCGTGATTTTATGGTGGACTTTATACACATGATTTTATTGTGTAAATTCACATTAAAAGGTAAAAGATTTAGTTAAAAAGCACCCTAAGTTTGAATAAATTATATATTTTTTTATGACACAAACTTTTATAAAAAATATATATATAGCATTTCAAACTTCTAAGTAAGTGTAGCCTCTTTCCAATCTTGAAACCCATCATCTTCTCTCTCTCCAAAGCATGCCATAAGAGTCTCAAGACTATCATCACACACACCCCGTATTAGGTTTTCATAAAGTCCACTATTGAGCATGATTTGTGATTGTGATGGTAATGGTATGGCATTTGCCTCACCTCATGAGTTCATGTTTCAAACCCATGAACTCAACCACCCTCCTAGCATCCTCCCTTCATGTCCACCCCAAGACTTCCATGGTCACCCTCTCTCTCTATCTTTCTCTCTCTCTCTCTCTCTCTCTCTCTCTCAATTAATGGATTGCTGACATTTGTGTTGGCTGCAGGTGCCCAAACGAGGAGATCGATGTCGTTTTCGGGTATTGGGGGCAAGTGGGATCATCAAGAAATGCAAGTAGAAGATGACATGTCTGATGATGATGATGGAGGATCCAATTCACAAGTAGTGCTTGGAGAGAAGAAGAAGAGGCTAGGGATGGAACAAGTGAAGGCACTTGAGAAGAGCTTTCATGAGTTGGGTAACAAGCTTGATCCTGAGAGGAAATTGCAGTTGGCTAGGGCTTTGAATCTGCAACCAAGACAAGTTGCTATATGGTTCCAGAACAGGAGGGCTAGGTGGAAGACTAAGCAACTGGAAAAAGACTATGATCTCTTGAAGAGAGAGTTTGAGTCACTCAAGGCTGACAATGGTGCCCTTAAGTCTCATAACAACAAACTTCATGCTGAGGTTAGTCTTAATTCTAAAATTTGAATCAACGGTATCGATATAAATTGTGTCAGAATGAATCTGATTAAAGTTGATTTAAATTTTATGTCAGAATGAATCTGATCCAAATATTTCAAATTCTGGACACCTTTTTATTGTACTATTTTTGCAAATTTTAATAATTAACCAATTTGACTATGAATAAATTTTGGAAGTGAGTTTATGTTTTTTCTTTGGTAATTATAGTTTATGCGTTTTCAGTCTCTTTCTATGTGCTCAGATGTTTTATGTGGAGATAGGGAACATAAAATTTACAGAAATGCTAAGAAAAAATATCTAGAAAATTTTTCAAAATATAAATGTATGATGTGGACTTAAATTTTGTGTTATCAATCTCACACAGATATTTCAAATTCTGAATTTTTCCTTAAGTATTTATTTTTTATTTTTCGAGTATGTAGTATATTTGGAAAATTTAATAAGCCAATTGCCAGTATGAATAAATTTTGAAAATGAGTTATGGGTTTCTTCGGCATCTTAGCTTTATGATCTATGTAATTGAACCTTGTGAAAATATTTTTTTTTTTTCCTTTTGCAATAAAGGCTAAAACCTAACCAATCAAAGGCCCACAAGGCCTAGACTCTACAATTAAAATAAATTCTCATAACCCGAGAGCTTAGGTTAAAATTGAAACAACTTCTTACAATCCAAAATTGTAGGTTAGCTATGAAATCTTGCTATACTTGCTCATGATTGGAAAAATTATAACTGTTACTTGAAAGTTTGTGATTAAATGTGCCTACTTCATTCATCACATTTGAAAACGTTTTACTTCATCCAGTTGATCAAAATTCTTACATTTTACTAAAAAGTTAGGTATTTGAGTCTAGTTAGACATTTCCTTTGCCGCAAGCTATAGCTTTCCTTGAACTAATCCAAAAAAAAAGTACGATAAAATATTAATTTAAGAAAAGCCGTATGGGATTTGGCTCCAACCATATGTATCCTAGTACTTGTGGAGTTTCAGTGCCTATAATGAACTTAAAAGTCATAACCTTTTAATTTGCTTTTGAGTCAATTGATTCTTTCATTATGGTATGGAAGCTTCAAGTGTAACAGACCCTTTTGCTTATTGTCTTACAACCTCAATTAATTAGTTGTACCTGCCATCATTTTATTATATGATTTCAGGTTTATTGATTCATAGGCAGTAATATTTTTTTATAAATTCATGATACATCATAATTGGGTGTGATCCAAATGTTGCAGTTATTGGCTCTAAAAGGTATAGAATCAAATGGAATTGGACCTATTAACCTCAACAAAGAAATTGAGGGTTCAATAGAGAGCTCATTAGATACTTATAAACATATATTCCATTCATCTACTGGAGCTACAAGTAGTGTTACTCATCTCCTCCAAAGCTCATCAAGATCAGACCTCCAATGTCGGAAAATTGATCAGACGGTTCCAGATGAAAGCTTCTGCAACATGTTCAGCAGCATTGAGGATCAGCCTAGTTTTTGGCCATGGCCAGAGCAGCAACATATCCATTGAAACCAAACCCAAACTACTGATTCAGAAACAGTATCACGAAAATGAAATGTGTGTGACTCACAATTCTAAATTTGAATCCACACCCATGTTTCATTTTGGGCAAATTATATCAGTGGTTCATGTAATTTGTCTCTTGTATCAATTTGTTTCTTTTTGTTTCAATTTTGCCATTTAATGTTTCAGTCTTTGTCAATATTGACCAATTGTTAGATAGTATCATTTAGTACTCTAGGTATGCACTATCATTTCCATACATATGCTGAGACATATTCATTTTGCAAAGGTTTGGAACATTGAGGAAGAACAAACTATTTATCTTAACAATAATTATAACAGATTCATATAACATGTTGCATGACATCTGCCAAAGTGTGGGTCAGAGTCTCGTGTCTGCCAGAGGCCATGAGACAAAAAGATTTATAAAAATAAAAAAAATAAAAAGAAAAGATTCTTTCGTACATTTTTTTTAAAAAAAATTAATTGAAGGTGCTGCTTTAGAGTTTCATGACTTCGTTCGTACCATATAAAAATGTATGGAAGTGCTTTGAAGAAGGTTCTTGTGATCTAGAGGAAATAGGTTGGCACTATTTTATTAATGGGTTAGTGGATTTTTTTTTAGGCTTATTTTAATATTAGGTAAGCAATGAGATTTGAATATAATTCTAATGTTTGCTATGATATTTATTTTAATTACTAGGTAACAAATGAGATTTGAGCAAAAATCTATTGTCTGCTATGATATCATGTTAAATTGTTAATCATCAATTCATTAAAAAGCTTTAGACTATATTATATCCTTGTGAAAGTTTAAAAGAAAAAATCAAAATGCAGAGAAAGAGTAAGAAGAATGGAAGCAGGGGAAGGGGCCAAAGAGATTAAGACAGAAGAGAAGGGAAGAAAAGGATGGGGGTGGGTTCTGTTCTCCTTGGAAATGGGTCATTTTCATTGAAAGAGATATGTGTGCGCTGTGCATGTATGGATCTCTGACAAAGAAAAAAAAAAGTGTCAGATGCTGCTGTGTGTATGCCAGAAAATCCATGTGCCTCACTGCCACTCCCTCTGCTCCTTATCTTTCAGCAAACATGAGGATGCATAAATGGATAGATGATGGATGCTAGTTTCATCAGTGGATTACTCATTTCAATTGTATCTGATTTTGTGATTAGATTCTGTAAACATAAAACAAATGTAAGATTGAGAATTCATCTTATTTTTTCTAAGAAGTCTCAATAACCAAATGGGAATAACCTACCGACCCACCTCTATCTTCCGTTCAAACAAACAAAACATAGTTGTGTTATGCACATCAAAAGAATTTCACAGAATAAGACGTGGATGTAACCCATAGTATTTCGCAGCTATAATTGCCAACACTTCATCTCACATATGTATATTTTGTGTCCACTACTTCATTATTTTAACAAAATGAAAATACAAGTTTAGTATCGTTCTAAAGAACCTAAATCCCTAACCATATTTATGTGTGAACCTCAGCAAAACTTTGGTGGGAATTGTAAGGCAAAGAATTATTGCCCACCTATGTGGACCTAGAACACCAAAATAAAAGTATTAAAGATAATCCTTTTGAATTGGAGTCTAATGATCATTTGGTAGCTAGTTTTGGATTGCAAAGGCAAGGTTGCATAATAGCCATAAAAGAGTGGGCAGGCAGGCAGGTAGGTAGGTTGTGCTTGTAAGGCCCTGAGAGAATGGTTCATTCATGGACCATACAATGTCTGTGGTTTGTCATTCAGTTTATTGTATTGAAGGGTTTAGTTCACCGAATGTGAGAGGGAACATGCGTCCTATAGTGATGTCTATTCTCGTAAGGTATATATTTCTCTCACATATTTTGGATTGGACTATAATTGATGTAGTAGTGTTTAAAAAATGGAAAAAAAAAAAATTGTAGTAGAAGACATGATCTCTTGAATTTATATAGGATTTTTTTTGAAAATATTATTAATTAAATGAATAAATAACTTACATCTGCAAGCTTATACATGTACTAATAACAAACTAAACTTAATATTTGTAGAATAGATAAATTTAAAAAAATTAGAAAATTGAAAATTGATACACAGAGGAATGTTGAGTAAAAAATAAATTATAAATCTCAACTTCACGCTACTTTGAACAAATCTCACAACATAAAACGAGTAGATCGAAAAAGTTCCAAAAAGTTGGGAGTCCATGGTTGGGTCTAACCCATTAAATGATGGGTCAATCCAATTATGGGTACGCAAATTTTGAGCAAAACTTCCGTTACCTTGAGCAGTGGCGGAGGCACATAGGGCCCGGGGGTCACGTGCCCCCTAAGTTTTGGGATTTTTTTTTTTTTTTTAAACATGAAGAAAATATTTTAAATAAAAATATTATTTAAAGTGAAATATTAATGACATTTTTTAAATTATGACAACAATATTAGTTATTTTGATTAAAAATAAAGAGACTATGATAAGTTATATTATTATCTATGAAAATTTCAATATAATAGTGATATCTATCATTATTGACATGCAAATATAATTAATTTCAATGAAAAATATGAAATTTATTGGATTGTTAGTTACATCCTCCATGTGGAGTTTATCCTCCATGTGTTTCTTTTCATTCATAACTAAAATGACCGCTATATAAATTATAATCAAGCAACACATCTTCAATTATAAAAAATAAAAAAATAAATTGCAGTAGGTCATAACTAATATAAGAATCAATCATAACTAACTATTACTTGATATATAGTCATAACCAAAATAACAACCACAAAAAGCTATAACTAAATTATATCTAACATTATAATGTGTTATAACTATGGACTATGAAGATCATAATTGCGACATATGATAAACATTTTTTTTGCGGTATGTTTTATAGAATTTCTCTACTAAAATATATCATTTCTATCTCAACTTATCTTCTTTTTTAATTTTTCAATCCACCTATAAAATAATTACTCCCAAATATTTGTATAAAATTTAGGAAAAATTAGTCTAGGGTCCCTCTCCCACTTTTCATAATGGAAAAGATCCACAAAATTATTTTTTGATGTCTAAAGTCCCTCCGATCTATCACAGAGAAATTTAGCCCCATTCTTTTTGTCTACTCTCACGCACACACACAGACATGTACATACATACATACAAAGGCGGTGAGTAAGCTTGATTTGAGTAGAGAGAAAGTCGAAGGTGATCGATTGCGTCGGAACAGTCGTTGTTGTCACAGTCCGGCACCGGAGGCTAGGGCTTGGAACGGGGCGTGTCTACGGCCTCGCAACCGAATCGGCCATGCTTGGTTCCGCCACGGACCGCCTTGTCCTCCGTCGTCTTCCTCAGCCTCTATGGCCCGATGTCAAGGCAGACAATGTCAAGGTTGTTCCCGTTCGAAACACCTTCACCATAACCCAATCTCAAACCATTGGAGTCTGGCAGTGAGGTTGCTTATTTGTCACGGCCACATAAGCAACAACATAGTCATTATACTCCAAAACCAGAACCTAAAACAAAAAAATTACTTTTTTCATAGCTAGCCTCTCTCATCTCTTTTTTTTCCTTGTCTTTTGTTCATCAATATCAGTTCCAAAGAAATTCAAAATTTCTCTGGAGATAAATTCAAAGTAGAATTTCTCTGTTGATTGGTGTGAAATGGCAAGAGTAAATGGAAATTTGAAACATCAGTACAGCCACTTACAATAGTAGCAACAATGGTGGAGGATCAAACCCACGATAGAGAAATTTGAAATTTCTCTGGACTCCATGAAATTGTGATTGAATTGTGATTGAAGAACTATTAATTTGTTTGTGCAAGAAATTGTGATTGAATCAGCAGCAGTAGAACCAAAGATAAATTGATCAAATTAGAGTTTTATAGTTCTAGAGAAAATTCAGAATTTCTCTGAGTTCAACTCAGAGAAAATTCAAATTCAAATTTCTCTGTTTAGTAGCTTCTCACCTTGCAAATTTGCAATGATTATATGGGTGATAAAGTTCCTAATAGAAAAAGCAGTTCCTCTGACATGGGACTTGGTGGACATTCTCGTCATCTCCTGACTATGCAAAACTGTGTGCGCGCGTGTGTGCATGATATATAGAGAGAAGTCGGTACCATACCTATTTAGTACTTGTTGCCTTAGTACATCAATTGGCCTTCGCTTCAAAAATGTTCTTGTGTGTGCTTTTATTCTGGGCTTATGCATGATCTGTTGGTGGTACAGAAGCAACCAAATGTGTCGATTTATCCATGCAGTTAATCAATGCCTGCAACAACAGAAAAAAAAAAATCATTTTTTTGGCCCAAAAATAAGGGAAGTGATCATTTAAGTGTTGACTAAGTTGTGTATTGAACTTTCAACTTTCTCAAGTGTCCTATCTTTGGAAGGAACCAAGGAGTTTTTTCAAATATGATTAGACAAAGTGCTACTAATAATGAATTTTGCAGTGATTAATATTCTATGGAGCTTTGGATGGACCTGAAGCCCATTGCTTGTTGCAAACAACAGAAAAAAAAAAAAATCATTTTTTTGGCCCAAAAATAAGGGAAGTGATCATTTAAGTGTTGACTGAGTTGTGTATTGAACTTTTAACTTTCTCAAGTGTCCTATCTTTGGAAGGAACCAAGGAGTTTTTTCAAATATGATTAGACAAAGTGCTACTAATAATGAATTTTGCAGTGATTAATATTCTATGGAGCTTTGGATGGACCTGAAGCCCATTGCTTGTTGCAAAGGTGAAAACTTGGGGCTGTCAACATAAAAGCGTGGCTTCAGAATTTAGGGAACAATATCTGATATGGGCCTTTAAGAAACTTGCTACTTGTAATTATGGAAGTGGTAACTAATGATTAAGAGATTTGATATGAATTTGCCAGTCATTTCTTTTTTTATTATTATTTTTCTTTGTTAAGCTGTAAACTGCATTGAATGATCTTATATATCGAATGAATATGCCATTTGTTGTATATTGAAAACTGGTAGGTTATGAGTATTTTGTTTCAGTTAAGTTTGAACTGAATTTTTTCTGGGTTAAAACCAGAGAAATTCTCTGGTTTTTGAGCTAAATTTTCTCTGGGTTGGTCCAGAGAAATTCTTCCCAGAATAATTCTTTCCAGAATTTCTCTAGACCAATTTTCTCTGTGACGTGAATTTTTTCTGGACCAATTTTCTCTGGGACTGAAATTTCTCTGGATTGATGT